GATTTACAAAAATGTTAGAAAAAATACCCCCTAACAGACTTGCTATTATAATTTCATTTTTTTGGGGGGGGATCTGTTTAAAAACTGCAATGGTTTGCACTTGTATAACTACATGTGGAAAATTTGAAGGGGCATGAACACTTCTGGAAGGTGTTAGATTTGGTTTTTTTAAAGAGCGATTAGGTTAAAAAACAGGAGAAACTGAGCCATAAAAGATCTAAGAGATCCCAGGCTGCCCAAAATGAGAATAAGCCAAAAGATGCCAACCTCTACATGCGTTAGAAAACTTAATGAGTGTTAGAGGTGGAGCTCTAGGTGCACAATTTATGAGGCACAGCACTTGGGACAGACTCGTGATATCAAACATTTAGTAAGACTTTGGATCTAATCTCGTCCTTCACATATTTTTCTCACCTTGAGCTCTTAGCACCTTGTTCTAGCTGTTACTTTCCGCTTGCAGTTGCTTCCGAGTAGTCCTGAGTCTGACATTAAACTTCTCAGACAGTTTGGGTACAATTGTACCTGCAGGAAGTGATGTTTTTTTTTCCACGCCAACACCCGCTGGTTTTAGTAAAGCTGTCGCTTTGCTCCGTCCAGGTGGCCCTGTCTCTGCAGGTCACCCTGCTATGCTCTCTGTGGCTCCGCCTCCAGCTGCAGCTCCAGCACCCATGGCCGGCCCGCCAGCTCCGCCACCGCCCCCGGGTCCTCCTCCTCCAATGGCGGTGCCTCCACCCATGCCCCCTCCTTTGCCCACCGGTGGAGGGCCACCTGGGGGCCCTCCTGGGGTCCAGCCTTCGGGACTTGCTGCAGCTCTCGCTGGAGCCAAATTACGGAAAGTGCATCGGGTGAGCTCTTAGTTAAAAAAATTCCCTAACCTTTCATTGGGAGTTTTCATAAATGCTAGTGATGGATGTACAGGGACATGTTGCCCAGTATTTGTCTCTGGCTGCACCTTGGGTGAAGACTGTATTGTTCGATGGTTTTCTCCAGGATGAAAGCAGCCCGCCTGGTTCTGGGGGAAAATGTGACTCCAACCGATCTAGCGGGGGCAGCGGTGGCGGAGGAGAGGGTCTAATGCAAGAGATGAATGCCTTACTAGCTCGCAGGTGAAAAAAAAGAACAAAAATGCAGCGTCTATAAAGAGTAAATCAATGAATTATCTGATTTAGCAAGTATAGCGTGTCTGTTTATTAATAATCAGTTTGCTCTAAAAATGAAAAAGTGTTTTTTTTCCTGGAGCTTTTATCTTTTTTCTTTCATCCTCTCATAGGCGAAAAGCTTCAGAGAAACCGGATGAGGTAAGTTGAGCTTTTCTGAGAAAAAGCTCAAATTTTACTTCAACAATTCAGAAGAGAAGTAATCTGAAGTGACGGCAGATGTCTTTTTTCGGTCTAGATTTATAGCCTGTTCTAATAAAATGTTTATGTGTTATATTTTTCACATATTTGGGTTTTTTTGACAGGATGAGTCTGGTGGTCGAGGGGCAGGTCAGCAGAACTCTACAGGTACCGGATAACTCTCACCACCCATCATCATACAGCCCAGATGATTTAAATGCATCACTTTTGCAACAACTTAGTTGAATATTTCTTATGAGAAGACCTTTCTTACCTCAAAAGATGTTTTAATGCTGAATGCTATGCCTCAGCTTTTTTAACCACAAAGTAATGAGCTGATTGATCTTCATAGAGGAGAAAGTGTCTGAAAAGGTTGTGATGCCTTCAAATTTAGGCTAAATTTTTTAGCATTTCTAAGCTCACCCACTGGTTCCAGGACTGCTGTATTGAAGTCTTCATGTGTAATTTTTCTTTCTTCGATTGATCCATTTAGATAAAAAAAAAAACAACTACTAAACAACATCATAACTGAAACCTTATTAGACAAGAACAATGTGCATTTTGCAGCCAGGAATAACAGTTTGGCTGTGAGAGCAAGTGTTAAGACAAATTCTCATCTCAACTGCCCGCAACAAGAACCAGTGGCTCTCCACTGTTCTTTCCATGCATGCACGGGTTTCCCCTGGTTTCACCACACAGCCAGCAAACCTTATTGTTCTCCTTCATAGTCAACCTCAGGGGCCAATTAGTGCATGCATGCATTTTTCATTTACCTGCCTGCACTAATTGCACACACCTGTGTGTGAAGTTTTCCATGTATGCATAGATGAACATGTGAGATATATCGCAGCAACCAGAGCAGAGAGCTGCTCACACAAGTCAGCTGTTATTATTTGCAGAATGATGTCTTGTGTCATTTCTGTTGAACAGATACATATCTTCTACTGTAAAAATTACTGGAATATTTTGTGTAAATAAAGGCATAAGAACTTGAGTTTCTATTAGACGTTTAAATAATAGTCTTAAAAAAGTTGTTTTTTTTATTATCAGTGTTTGTTCAGGTGCAATTCTTTGTTCCATTTATTTACAGATGCCCTGAAGAAACCGTGGGAACGCTCCAACTCAGCAGACAAGTCCTCCCTGGTGTCCAGGTGAGCAGATTAAAGAATCATAAAAATAAGATATTCAGAAAATCAAATGGTTACAATCATTAAATAATTAAGAGTAAATTCTTCTTTCCTCTTTCCTATTGCAGAGTGAGACCTGTCGGCAGCGCTGGTGAGGCTGATACAGAATTCGACCGGATGAAACAGGTTTTCTATGCTGCTTTTTATACCTGCAGAATTCATTTGGCATCGTTGTTGGAGCTGCTTGGTGGAAAATAAACTCACATGCAGATCTTATTTATTTCTCATTTTGCAGGAAATTTTGGATGAAGTTGTGCGTGAGTTACACAAGGTGAAAGATGAAATTATTAACGGTAAGAAAACAACCAGGGTTCAGGTTTCCAATCAAACACATTCAACGAAATCTCCTTCAATCTCCGTCTCTATGTTTTTCTTTTTTGCAGCCATCAGACATGAAATTGGCAGAATCGGTACGTCCTAATCTCATCCGAGGGCGTCGGATGAAGGAGCAAGAGGGGGCGGGGCTGGGGGGTGGGGGTCAGGAGGAGGACGGACACGCAGATGCACAGACACGAGGACCAGGGAATGTTCTCTCAATGTTTCTGTGACCTCGCGACGCCACGGTGCAAGTTGCAGAGACGTTGTGCCAACATTTAAGTCTGCTGGACAGCAACACGGAGACAGAAATAAACAAAGGAAGGATTTCCATGAAGGAAGCTGAAAGACTGATGTCCCGATTAATTTAAAGAAAGGAGGAAACATGGACTTAAAGCTGAATTGAAGAGACATTTGTACTGAGTTTGGTGTTGTGGTCCTCTCTGTGCACCTAGACTCAGTCAGCCCAGTGTTGCAGCTTCTTTTGTCTCTGTTGAGTCTTATGAAGAAAATATTTTTGTTTTCTAAGTTTTTACTGTTTTATTATTTAAAACTGTGGTGATGATGATGACGCTGTTGACGACAATGAGTTTTAGATGGTATTAGAGAAGGACAAAGGAATCTTGCACACCGTTTCTGTCAGCTTTTTATATTTTCTATGGCTGCTTCGGTTCGGTTTCTCCCTGACCATTTCATGAGAACAAGCACAACATGGGCAGAGCTGCAGATGCAGACCCACTGGCCCTCAAATGGCATATTTAAAACAAAAAAATGAAGGAAAACATTTTTCTATTGTTGCTCATACTGGTGTTTTATGTCTAATCTTTTCTCTCCATAGATTAAAAAAACCTTCCATCTCTCTTGAGGCAGAATGACATTGAAGCATTATAAATTGAAGTGCAGTCAGCATACAGCTCCAGTGTGATGGAGGAACACGTTGGGGATCGTTCATGAAACAGGCTGAGTGTAAATGCCACCCTGTTTTACCTATGGAACGCTGTATTCTCTATTATTCATCTTATGCTTTGTGAACCTCCCAGTATGCATGAAACTCCCCAGTCTATTTGTTTTCTATTTGGTTCAAAACTTAATTAAAAATCTATATAAATGGTGGTACATTTATTATAGTGGTTTGTTTCCCCTTAAAAAAAATGCAAAGAGTCTAGCTCAGCGTGTGAGTTTGATCTGGAGATGAATGTCCTGAGGAAGTTTCATGATGAAGGTCTATGTGATGGTGGTTTAACGTGTTTCTGCAGGAGGGATCTGGATTAAAAACTATTTGCTGGATTCTGTCCACTCTCGACTCGTTCTGATTTAAAAAAAAAAAAACTGGAATTAAATTTATTCAAACAAAATCCTTTTATGTGTCTGTGTGTGTGTTCCAGTCACAATCCTGTTTATTTACACACATTGACCACCCATTAAATGAAATACTGAGTATGTCCCTACAATGCAGGGGTCTGCATTTGCAAGTTTGGATCCAAAAAGACAGCTGCCATCTCCCAACGGGCCATGCTCTATATATTCATTTAGATGCAAGTTGTAAAACACAAGGAAAACATTCTAACTTCACACAAAAACATTCAACTCATGACTTTCTTGCTCTTAATTCTCTCAATGGCTGTTATTAACTTTGTTTATGACTCAGCCGTTCATGTGACGGCAACGGTTTGTAAGGTAGATGTGAACAAGCTGTAGTTCATAGAGATTACCTTTACACATGCAAAAAAGGGGAAGTTGTTTGACTGGGGCATAAGATTTGGTTACTCTGAGTGTTTCACATACAAAACTCTCAAGGTCACAGAAGATGAAGCAAAAGATAAAATATTCAGTTTTAGATTTTCTGGAAGAAAATCCACTGCTGATATCAGAGGGGAATTAAAAGACTGGCTTCAGTTTAACTTTACTGCAACAGTACAACATGCCAAACCTTTAAGCAGCAGAGGACCAGAGCAGGAGTCACTTCTGTCAAACAAGAACAGGGAACGGGGTATTATTCAAAACTGCAGAATTACAAACAATGGGGGGAAAAAAAGGTCTTGTTCGATGAGTTTCTGTGTCAGCTGTGAAGTTCAAACTGTAGGTTCAGACATAAAACCAAGTCTAAAGTAGTAATCCATGCTGCTTTGTATGAACCGTTCAGGCTGCAGGAGGTGGTATAATGGTGAGGGGGACAAATTAGCTCAGCATGCATGTTTTTAAATATTAGGATGCAGAGAACACAGATATACGGTAAGCTGTTGCTCAGTAAATATGCAAACACTGCCCTTAGTGTCTCTAAGCCCTCAGCTTACAAAATGCACAGAAATTGCACATTATTATTGGCACTTGAAGGTGATCTGATCTGCTTTAAACATTTTTAGAATTGCAAATTGAATCATCCCTATGAGTAATTAAAAGTCAATAGAAATGAGATCGACACAATTAAAAGAAACTTTCCAACTTCAAAAGGCATAGACTGAGAACCTGTCAAAGAAAACCTGATCTAGGTTAACCAGAACCTGAAATAGACAAACCCCAACATGCAGCAGACCAACAGGAAACCCACTGATGTCCTGTTTACTGCCAGAAGCTGCAGGTTTATCCCATAAGCATTAGGCTGAACTTAGTGGGTGGGAAATTACCGAACCATTGATTAAAAGGTGGGGGGGGGGAACCACGTATAAATCAATGGTTCGGTAAT